ATACGGGGCAAACACATATATATACATTAAAGCGCAATCGTGTTGCGTTTTATGCAGGTAAAAAAGGTTATAGACTGGCGCGATAGTGCTAATTGGTCGAGCGCAATCGTATTGCGTTTTTTGAATGGAAAAAGGTAAGCTGGGCGCAATCGTGGTTCACCGATTAAATATAATAATTATTTATTGGGGGACGAGGTGGCCGAGCGGTCTAACGCGTCGACTGCGGCGCTGGCAGTCGCGGGTTCGACTCTCGACCACTGGGCGGCATTTTTCTCCGGGCAAGTCACGGTGTCCGGAGTACAAATGCCGCCATCCCCCACCCCGGGGCATGGCAGAAACCTACGGGTGCCCCAATAAAAATTCTGCCACCACAAACACACTCGTGTACAAACCTACCCAATCTAAAAACCTACAGTTCCCTCCACACACCCAATGGCCCATGTTGCCGCGGGTTATCCAATAAAAAAAAAAAAAAAAATTATTTATTGTTTTACTCGTCCGGAGACACATGTTATGTATTTTTTTGTTTTCTAAATAATAATAAAATATCGAACCACGGGAGAAGGCAGACACATTGCTCGTTACTGGTCTCGCAGGGTTACCGAGCAAAGCATCTTTTAATAAAATGAATAATCGCCCAAGGGACAGGTGACTTGTGACAGTCGGAATTTTAATAGGAGAACAAGAAAAGGGAAAACAGGGGGACCCGCGTCTTCCGACACATCTTATTACGGGCTTGGAAAGGGGGGGGGGACAACAGGTTAATTTACACATTACGACAAATGACGACCAGAGCTTTGAGCTGTTTTTTGACCTTGCATTGGTTGGTGGCGGATAAAAAAATCATGGAAATCATTGGAAACTATCAAATTAAATTATATAAATAATAATAAATAGTAAATACGTTATAACTTCTAATGATGATGGTCTAAGGTCTAACACTCCAACGTTATTTGGAAAATTACAGACTTCAAAGATTATGACATAAATACTAAAATACATATAATGGGTAATGTTATTTTTAGAACAATCAACAAATATCCAATAATATAGTACAGTAATTTATGATAACCGATCGTACGCACTACGTCGCGCGCCGTATTAATAATTGATAAATGATTATACCGTTGGGTCGTTGAATACTGTTAATACTGGACTTTCAATATAATTTAAAATAATTTTAAGCGTAAAATATATTATTTTAATTTTCTCTAAATTTTCCACATTTTCTTTGAGTCTGAAAAAAAAAACTGTTTTTTTTTCGGAAATTTTCCGAAATATACTTTTTTTTTTAATTTTCCGAAAACTTCGGTTTTTTTCGGAAATATATTATTTGAATATTCCCCAATTTTTCAATATTTTCCGGGGCTCTGGGGAAAAAACTGTTTTTTTCCGAAATTTTCCCGAATTTTTGATCCCTACTTATAACCATGTTTAAACGAGTGCAAAGTCTAGGTATAATAAATTATCTTTCAATTGTACATGTTGTAGGAGGTATGGACCATAGGCGTAATCTCGGGGGTGCAAAGGGGTGCACTTGCACCCCCTGGAATTGTTGAGGAGGTGCAAAACTATCATTTTGCACCCCCTAAATTTTCTATATTTATAATGTATAATTTTGCCAATTTTTTAAATATTTATAAAATAATGTTAACGTTATTAGACATTATTAGTAACACCTATAAGTTTTATAATCATGAACTTCAAATAGAACTAAAAATCTTTATTAGAATATTCAAATCTAAACAAACTAACTCAAATAATAGTGTATTTTAAAACAAATTAGATTATATAAAACAAGGTGAAATTAAAAATAGGTGTCCTTTATTATCTGAAATTTTAACACTATTTATGACAATACCTATCATACACTATCATCTTGTAAACGAAGTTTTTCCTGATTACGAAGGCTTAAAACATACCTCAGAACAACTGTGGGACAAGAATAGCTGTCTGATATAGCTATGTTACAACTTACCAATTGATAGAAATCGAGTTATAGATTCTGAAATAAATTGTAATCGACGAGTTCAATGCAGCAGCAACTGTACATGGTAGATGCTTAAGTTTAATTTAATTTTGTTAATTAATATGTATTAATATTATATCAATGTAATAAATTACAGTGTCTACTAATTATTTTAATTTATATAATAAAATGTATTTACTTCATATTATTAATGATAATACTAAATTGTGTATACAATTTTGAATTTTGATCGAGGAACTGGTATTGAAAAAGTAGTAAATAAATGTTCAAGCGGTACCTATTTTGCAATTTTGTAGAAAGTTTGTAACTTTCCTGATTAGTTTTGCACCCCCTGAATTTTAGCGAAATTACGCCTATGTATGGACGTAAATGATAATAGTTATGGTCATATAAATGATGATATATGTTTTAGTTATTGGTAAAAAGTCTCAATCCTTAAGAGTTAAGAAGATACTACACAGATATTCATTTTTCCGTCTTACAATAAGCTCCTAACATAGCACATTTTAAGCTCATTAGATCATGTTCATAATTCCGTTAGTAAAAATTAGAGTGAATTAACCTTGCCCAGGGCATCTCAGGCTTTTTTGTTATATTTCAATTTCGTAACTCTGACCTTAAATACATGAACACATCACTGGTTGTCTATATGTTTGAATTTTATATACACGATAAAATTTTCAAAATATTTTGATTTGTTATGTACTGTTTAGGGACATTTTTAGTTTCCAACTTCATGTTCACATCTTGACAAAAGTTTATGTTTTCATTTTCTATACACCGTTAGATTTTGAAAACATTTTGACTCTTTTCGAGCGGTTAAGGTTATAAAGTTTATTTTATTTTTACTTTTGAACTTAAATAGTTACTTTTGGCTTTTAATTAACCTCACTGTTAACTTACTAAATTTCTTTTTTAATTAACGTGAAATTACCTAACAAATTAATTTTTCATTTTAAAAAGTAAGTTATGTTATTTTATTTATAATTTTATTATATTTCACTATTTCAGTCTATTTCGTTGTCATGTCAAAAAATATTTACAGTGAATTGTTTAAAGTTAAAAATGTATATTCATATTCATTCAAATCTAACTTATATGGAAATACTGTATATATTATAGTCTCTAATTTAGTTTTATGTTGGAAAATAATTAAGTATGCTAGCCTTGTATAAACAAATTAACTATTTTTTATTTAATAAAAAGTTAACAAAAAGTGTGTATTAACGTTTAACTCAACTGAGTTAACCTATCATTAAATTGACTTAATAAATATTAGACCGATAATAAATTTGTATAAATATTTTACTTTTAGATACAGTGTGGCTTCCTTTTTTTTTTTTTATAGGTAACTCAAATTCTACTATTTTAGATTTAAAATAAAAACTGTTGTACCCCACTAATCTAAAATATATGATAGAATGTATAATATGTTAGAATTAATAAATAAATAAAAATATATTCATACAATATTTTACATAATATTGTTTAGTATGTTTAAATGAAAAAAAAATGTCAACGAGATACAAATTTGAAATTTATTTTATGTTACAACTAATCCAAATCTGTAATTTTATGTTACATATTTTTGCAAAATTTAGTCGATTTGATTTTCGAGACATATTTCTTAATTTATGGATTTTTTAGTACTGGTCTAGTTGACCTCTGCCAGGATGGCAACTCTCCCGCAGCTCAAGTTTAGTTAACGCCCGCCACTTAAATTTTGTATTTTCGTTAACCAATAATTTATATAAAAATGTACGATTAATAATACATTATACATTTATTAAAAATTATACATTAATTGTGATTATAAAAAAAATTATACATTTATGATTATACAGAACAATTCAAGCGATCGAAATCAAAATATATAAAAAATATGGTAATAAATAATAATAAATAAGAATAAAAATTATGCAGGTGGCCAAAACTCTGCAATGTCCAGAATAATTCATATATGAATAAATATTTAAATTAAAAAATAATAATAATAAATTATGAATATAAATTATAATAAAAAAAAATAATTGTTAAATTCCGGATGGTTCTGACTCTGGAGTCTGTGTTGACGATTTATTTTAGTTTCTGCCATGGTTTTTCTTAGTTATAATACAAGTTCTGTCTTTTCAGCAATCTATAAAATAAAATATAACTAAAATATAAGCTATTTTAATAAGTAACTAATATATAGGATTTTCCATATAACTTAGGACACTCGTCATTTCAGAAAATAAATGTTTTTGAAATAAATTTATTTACATAATATTAACTTGTTACAAAACAATATTTTTTAACATATATATATTATACCATAAGCCATTTTAGGTTTTTTTTAACCTAAAACATACATTTTGAATTACATAAGCATAATATTATATGGAGTGTTTCCACATTCATTTGTCAGAGTTAGAAATACTTATAACTGGAGCACGGATTTGTATGCATTAATAACCAACTATAAAGGCGCTAAAAAATCTTAAAAATGCATAAATATATTAATATACAGTATGCATTAAAATGTTCAAATATGCACTCAAAAAATCATTTATTTTCTGAATGTTTAATTTAAAATTATGGAACGCTACTATTTATACTATTCTTTATAATATCTGTATTTTGTAGGTAGTTTTAATCTATAAGAAAAATAGGAATCAATTAAACGGACATTTGTTATCTGTGTAACCAACATACGAACACAGATAATGTTCTTACCATAGATTACAATAGATCAATTTTTTAACAAATTATGTGTACATAATATAACAAAAATAAAAAACTCACTTAAATACCGCATAATCGTAAAAAAAAAAGAACACCATAAGAACACAGATAACTATTTTATAAATATAAATGGACAAGAATAATACTGATGTCTTATTAGAAGCACTAAATTACAAAAAAGAGAATCCAGGACGTTGAAGACCAATGCCCTACCAATAAGGAAAGCATGGAAAATCATAAAAAAGATAAAGATATCAGACTGTATTGACAATACTTATTAAAAATATTAATACTTTTTACTGACCAGCATATTTTTATTACTCATATCCTCATTGTTTCTAGTAAGTCTAGATGACCGTCTTGGTGATTTAAAATCATTTACAACACCATTTCCAATATGTTCCTCTCTGTAAAATTCAGATTCTATGCAATCACTTTTATCATAATAGGTAAGCCAAATTTTTAGATTTTCAAATAAAAAAAAATCTAGTCTAATACTATTTTCATTAACTCACTTTATAATATTTTGTTCCAACGGTAAAGTTACATTATTTCCAGTTTCAACATCATTAAATTGACTAGCATAACTATATAAAAATAAAAAACTGTTGAATATTAAAATTAAAATTATAGAGATCCAGAAGTATTACTTAGAAGGAAAACCATTTCGTTCATAAGGTTGGGGAACAGCATTTGAAAATAAAAATGGCTTTTTTCCTGGCTTATAGTTTTTTTCTAAAAATGATCACTACATATAAGTTGCGAATCATGACAAAGATCAATTCCAAAACTTGAAGCCATTTCCTTCTCATGTATGCATTCATGGGAATTCTATATTAAAACAAATATCAATCAATACCATAAATTGCTAATGTTAGGTTGGGAACAAAAAGTATAAATTACTAAGCTAAACAGGTTGAAAATTATTTCACAGTATCCCGCACCAGGATAATGAACCATGTCAATAATATGGTTCAAAAATCCATGTGCGTTTTTTTCACAACTATTTGAGCGATTAAATTTCTAGAACATATTGACACTCACCCATGATAAATAACTCCTTGACGATTGACATTGGTGACTGGTGTTATTAGATGTATTGCCGCACACTATACACTTGTGCATTTTTAAAACGAGACCAATAATTGTCACACGTCAGGTATCGAAGTTAGCCTAATCAGTAGACAGTTTGTATTGTACGCAGTTGGAACTTAGAGAAGAGAACTCGATCAATGGACGTGGGTTGCCTGTCAGTCATGGAATGTATACGACACCTGTATTCCGGTATCCCGTAGACCGATGATTGTGTTTTGAGGTGTAAGTTTTCTCGGTTTATGCCCAGTTCGCCGACGCCCAATTCGCCGACACCCGGTTTTTTGATCAAAAAACCAGTTTTTAATGGTTTTTAAAAAAAGCCCAATTCGCCGACAAATGATATTGACGACATGCTTTGTTGCATTGCAATAAAACTATAATAGGTACTATCATAATCTGTAAATTTATTTTATCGTGCACGATGAGTAGGTATAAGAAAAGGTACCTATCGGCTATGATATCGGCAAAGTTATGATATCTGTAAACATATTTAATGATGAGTATAAGATATAGTATTATAGGTACTTATCACATGATAATTTATTGACATCCATTTATATAACATATTGTAAGTCCACTGGGGTTTTCAAATATTGAACATGATTTTATTTAGTAGTTTTATTTCACTGCATGAGGTAGGTACTGCAATTTACTACACATATTACTAGTTATTAAATTTTTTTCCTCCCATTATGGAATGGTTTAAATTTAAGTCGGAAAAAAATCAGAACTTTCTTGTAGTGGACAAATATTTACATAGAATTGACCGGATACGTGGAGACAACGAATATTATAAATGTATAGATAATTGCGGCGGCCGTGCAATATTAAGACAATCAACAGTCATAGTTATGTCTAAGTCACACAGGCAGTCGCACGATTAATCATTTGGAAGGATGGCACGCAGCTTTAAATCGAGCAGTTAACCGTCACAGGCCTAATATTTATACACTTATAAATGAGATCAAAAACCAACAGCAGAACTTTGAATTGGATATTTCATCGCAAAGCGTAGGGGAAATCCAAAACCCAAACCAAGTTTAAAATTTCGTAAGCTCGAGGAACAGTTGAAAAATGTTAAAGAAAGGTAAGCAAAATATTTATTTTATGCAACAAACTATTATGACTATTTAAAATAATGTGTAGAAAAATGGATACCATATTTATATCTATCTATATTTTAAATACATAATTATATTTTACTATTTCAGGTTAAGAGAAAACTAAATTACTCTAATTGAGTATATTGACACCATAAAATATCATATTCGCATTTAACAATTTTTATTTTTATTTATACTTTTTATTATATGATGACTATGTAATATATTTACTATTTTATATTTTTGTATTATATGTTATTTATATATTTTTATAACTGAACTGTACTTTTTCAAATTGGGTGTTGTCAAATTGAGTGTCGGCGAACTGGGTGTCGGCGAACTGGGTTTCGGCGAACTGGGTGTCGGCGAATTGGGTGTCGGCGAACTGGGAATACACCAGTTTTCTCGTGGCAGTCATCTATAGAACAGTTGGGTGGTTAGGCATTGCCATTGCGTGTCGTATTTTTTAAAGGTATATTATGCTTAAAGTATAATACATACATAATTATGTCTACTGCAATCTCGCCGAGTACTGTACAAAGCACATGGATGAAACCAAAAAAAACATAACTTTTTGATTTCACGGTCACGAATTTGATGAGATATTATTTGTATTATTAAAAATGAATGTCTGAAAAGCGCCGATTTATTATTTAGCCGGACAAACACGCACGGCAAAAAAATAACAATTTCTCAATAACCTAAATTACGACGTAAACAAAAGACACAGACTTCTATACTACACTACATATACTACACTATATAGAAATCTGTGACAAAAGACAACCGACTAGTGATAAGCGAAACTCCTGTAATCACGGTCTTGGATTATAAATCAGTAAAGAGTAGGTACTTTTGTTCGTTCCATCGGTACATAGTCACAGATTTCCTTATGGTCCCCAACGACCCCAACAGTAGGAATTCTGTTCGTTCTACCTCCACGGACGCCGTACGATTCTACCATCTAAAGCATTACACATTTACACGAGGAAAATTACTCACGAACAATATTATTACGCAGGAATGAATAAACCGGGAAAGTATTAAGTAGGTACTTAGGTAATAGTCCGGAAATTATTAGGCAGGTACCTACCGTACGCAAGAAAATATTTTATGGGAAAGTAGGTAATAAAATAAAATAAAAAATAACATAAATAAACCTAACATTCAAGCCCGCTTTAAGGGGGGGTCCAGGGTGGTGGGCATGGCTATAAATATTTAGAATTTATTCAGGCGCCTCAGATATGCCCATTACGATTACTTTTTTCGTTGTAGGCTATAACACTGCATTAATCACCTAAATAAATGATCAGGAAATAAGCTTGTAAATTATGTATAACTTATAAATAAAATGATAGGTACATTATTCATTATTTAATGCCTGTGTACTTAATACGTATACTTACATTTACATATTATATAATATTATGACTAGCCCCGCAAGCCTAGCCTTCCCACGGCGCGTCTGTGTAAGGCAATAAGCCAACACGAGCCACGCGCCGTGGTGGGAAGCTGGCCTTTAAAATACGGATGTTGTCCATGGCAATCAGGTCGTGTTAAAATAAAAAAAAAAATTTCGGTCCGTCGTCGTCGGTCTATTGCGTCAGACTACTCCGACAAAACGGACTCCGGGTGACCGGGTACCAGAGTCGCACGTGCTAGTTGCTACTGGTTGTTCAGTTTCCGCGGTGTCTCGGTCGGTTTCCAGTGTTGGCGACGGCAGCAGTTGTAAACGAATAATATTATGCTCGTTCGGCGCGATCGCAGCATCTGCATACGCTCCTGTTCCGGCGCTTTCCATTACCGCACAAACATGACCCAATACCGCACAAAATGCACACAAAAATAGTACGATACCGCACAGATTTATAAAAAGGTATAGCCTAATTCCGCAAACAACAAATGGTACGATACCGCATAAATTTATTAAATATAAAAAAAAATTATAAAAAAAATTATAAAAAAAATTATAAAAAAAATTATAAAAAAATTATATAAAAATAATTTTTAGTCATAATTTATAGTAGTATTAGTAATGGTAACAAAAATGTAATAATTTAAACATAATTGTTATTGTAGACACCTATATTGGTTTAAAATGTAAACCTGTTTTTTCTATATATTCCATTACAGTTAGTTTGTTTGTTAATAAAAGCGAGTACTGATATACCAAATTGGCTTCTCGTTCCGGATCATATTTCCGCTGTATTGCTTCAGTTCCCTTCTTAATTTCTCGCATTTTCGCTTCATTAATTACTTGTTGGTCTATTAAAACATCAATCTAAAAATATAAAATAATTACTAATTATTACTATATTTTAATAATTAATATTTTTCATACGTACAACTTGGAAAACAGATGGATGTGGCATATAAAATTCAAACCGAAGTTGACTGTGGTATGATTCAGCACCGTTAGTTGTTATTTTTGTACCATTAGGTTCTTCAGCCCACATTGAAGGAGGAAATTGTTCAGTGTCAATATAATTTTCAAGTATATAATTAGCAAACTCCGTGAACTTTTTATGTTTTGGAGCTTCAGATAAAATGTCATCAAAAGCATCGGAAACAAAATTTTCCGGTAAATACGGTAATCCGAAAAACATTTTAAGCCACTTTCCAATCTCTGAATTTTTATCTTTTTACTCTTTATGCAGTATTGGAATAGAATTTATTTTTCGATACCATGCTTGACATAAATGAAACCGGCATGCTTTAATTTTGATATTTTTAAACACGATCTTTAATATTACTGCGAATTAAAACCGTTTTTTCATTGTTGGTGATAATAGTTACATTACATGTTTTTTGCACACCGCCAAACAATATCACCTGAACTTTTATTAGTTCTAAAATAACGAAAGTTATAGTTGTCGAAATGAATAGAACTATTACCACGGTTATTAGTAAAAAGTTTAAACATATTGATGATTCAAAGATCGAAAGACGACTAAAAACACACTACAAATTTGTACACTGCGAATACAATCTTTTACAGATAAAGCTTAATAATGTCGTTATAGATAATTGTCGATAAGTGACGATAATCGTCCAAAATAAACGTGTGCGGAAATGGGATATCCAGTATTTTAAAATCTGTGTGCGGTTTTGTCCCATGCGTATTTTGCGCATTTGTGCGGTAACGGGCGACGCCCTCCTGTTCAGAGTTTTCTCGAATATTTTCACATTAACCAACTAAACAGTTTTAACCTAGCCTACAAACCTTTCTAAAATGTACTCGTATGCGATTAATGATCAGCACCTATATCAACACTCGACGTGCGTTTCCACCATGGACTAAGGTTTCCACAATATTAATATTGTACAACGTCGCACGCAAGCCAATCAGTTCCGTGACTATATCTAATTTTGAATGGTCTTAGGATTTTAATTTCAAAAAGGTGGGTAAGTGGATGTCGCTCTGCTGTACAACAGTAGGTTACAAGTGGGTCACTGTATAATGGATACTATTAAATTTGAATTCAATGATACAATATCATTGTAGGTATAAGAAAAACGATTCTGAGCGAAGACGGTATGTCAGTCTAGGTTTAATACAAATTATATACATGACTATGGTATTAAAAAAAAAATTGACCTATAATAAATTCCAAATTAATCATATCACATTATTACAATATCCATTACCTAGGTACTTATAACACGTTATACATCAACATCAATAACAAACCCTGATACTATCATAGATAATATATAATAGTACACTTTAGAAGTTTCAAGTAGGTACCCACGAATAATATTATATAATCACAACAAAATAACTAGGTTTTTTAATATGCAATTTCGTCCAAATTTGAACATAAAATTACTATAAAAATAAACTGTGATTGTATATTTTTTAGATTTTTCGGTTAGAGAATTAACTACTTACGTGGAATCTTGTTTTAAATTTTCAATCCTTAGCTA